TTGCAACATCTCGCATGCAGACGCAAGCACCTGTAGGGGCACGGGGAGGTGAGGAGATGCACAAACAACCGCCATTCGCCAGACCATGTGCACCTTGAGGCCACGTGAAGTGTCAAACGCCCACTGGCAGGTCAAGGGGCAAACCCAGGTGCCACGGGTCAACTGAGATGACCGAGATGACTGGCTGATGCACCACCTGTGCCCCCTACTGTGCCAACTTGCTGTGCTTTAGCCACCCGGTGCTCCACTCGTTGTTGTGAGCGTCGCTCCTCCGCCCTCCGTTGTTGTTGTCGGGCGACTGCCTCACAGACAAAAATCCCCCGTGTAGCCTTAACAGACTGTAGGAGCAAGTGCTGCTAGCGAGTAGCACCTGTAAAGGCCGGCACGGCACACGAGGGGGTCGGTGGCCAATACCGCGCCCTTTGTCGCCCTAGCAGCGATGTTTACACATTTGAGGCTGAGACGACCTACACACACACAGACACATATCCTTGTCCCCCCGTGCGCCCCACCCGTGGTCTCACATGGTCGTCCTCCTCACACTCAATGAGCAGCGTGAATATTGAGCGCAGCTTCCCAGCCGCCCACACCACCGCCACCGCCAACTTGTCAGGTTGCTGGCAATCACCGCCAACACCGGCAACATCCCCACCACCACCAACACCGCCAACACCAGCACCGCCACCACCGCCACCACCGCCAACAACACCACCACCGCCAACACCACAACCACCACTGCCAACACCACCGCCAACACCGCCACCACCGCCACCACCGCCACCACCGCCAACAACACCACCACCGCCAACAACACCATCACCACCACCACCGCCACCACCGCCAACACCACCGCCACCACCGCCATCACCGCCACCGCCAACACCACAACCACCACCGCCAACACCACCGCCACCACCGCCACCACCGCCAACACCGCCACCACCACCACCGCCAACACCACCGCCAATACCACCAACACCGCCACCTCCCCCACCCTCCCCCACCGAGAAGCCTCCTCTCTCTCTCTGCCGCCCCCCTCCGGCGGTGTTGGCAGCGGCGGTGGTAGCGGTGCTGGTGGTGAAGAAGCAGCCTCCGAGAGCGCCCACGAAGCCGGACCACCAGCGGCGCGGCAGGGAGCCAAGCGGTGGTGCGGCGGCAGCAGGGGCAGCAGGGGCAGCAGAGACAGCAGAGACAGCAGCAGCAGCAGGGACAGCAGGGGCAGCAACAGGGGCAGCAGCAGGGGCAGCAGCAGCATGGGCAGCAGCAGCAGGGGCAACAGCAGCAGCAGGGGCAGCAGCAGCAGCAGGGGCAGCAGCAGCAGCAGGGGCAGCAGCAGCAGCAGGGGCAGCAGCAGCAGCAGCAGGGGCAGCAGCAGCAGCAGGGGCAGCAGCAGCAGCAGCAGGGGCAGCAGCAGCAGCAGCAGGGGCAGCAGCAGCAGCAGCAGGGGCAGCAGCAGCAGCAGCAGGGGCAGCAGCAGCAGCAGCAGGGGCAGCAGCAGCAGCAGCAGGGGCAGCAGCAGCAGCAGCAGCAGGGGCAGCAGCAGGGGCAGCAGCAGCAGCAGGGGCAGCAGGAGCAGCAGGGGCAGCAGCAGCAGCAGGGGCAGCAGCAGCAGCAGGGGCAGCAGCAGCAGCAGGGGCAGCAGCAGCAGCAGGGGCAGCAGCAGCAGGGGCAGCAGCAGCAGCAGCAGGGGCAGCAGCAGCAGCAGGGGCAGCAGCAGCAGCAGGGGCAGCAGCAGCAGCAGGGGCAGGGCGTGGAGCGTCAGACAGGAGGGCCGTGGTGGCCATGGTGGTGACAAAGTCCTTCGGCCTGGGAGGGGGGGAGTGGGGAAGAGGTGAGCGTGTGTGTGTGTAGACATTACACACAGACACACACACATTACAACAACAGCAACCGCAATTCGCCACTAAGTGGCGGTGACGTCATCACGACGCTTGTGCCAGGCCACGTGCACCTTGAGGCCACGTGAAGTGTCGAACGCCCGCTGGCAGGAGGTCACGGGGCAGACCCAGCAGGTGCCACGGGTCGACTGACCGAGATGACCGAGATGACTGGCTGATGCACCACCTGTGCCCCCTACTGTACCAACTTGCTGTGCTTTAGCCACCCGGCGCTCCGCTCGTTGTTGTGAGCGTCGCTCCTCCAACCTCCGTTGTTGTTGGAGGGCGACTGCCTCCAACTGCCCAGTAGCGTCCTTCACGAGCCTCCTCCACAGAGGCCGATCCTGACACCGCTGGTATCAGTCATCGGCAAGTCCACTCAGCTCCACGTCCTCCTGTACCACATCACTCCATCTCTTCTCTAGCCCGTGCCGCGCCCGTTTAGCCCCCTCAATAAGGCCGAACAAAAGCTGTTTAGGCATGCGGTGGCTGGGCATGCGGGCTACATGACCCAGCCAACGCAGCCTTGCCTGCCGGAGGAGCTCACCGATGGGACTTTGCCCAGATCTTTCAAGGAATTGTGAGCTCCTCACACAATCCAGCCTGGTTAAACCCAACAACCACCACCACACAAACAACAACCACCACCACAACAACAACCACCACCACACAAACAACAACCACAACAACAACCACCACCACACAAACAACCATCACCACAACAACCACCACCACACAAACAACAACAACCACCACCACAACCACCACAACAACCACCACCACAATAACCACCACAACAACCACCACCACAACCACCACAACAACCACCACCACAACAACCACCACCACTACAACCACCACAACAACAACCACCACAACAACCACCACTACAACAACCACCACAACAACCACCACAACAACCACCACCACTACAACCACCACCACCACCACAACCACTACAACCACCGCCACAACAACCACCACCACCACTACAACCACCACAACAACCACCACCACTACAACCACCACCACAACAACCACCACTACCACCACCACAACCACCACCACAACCATCACCACAACAACCACCACACAAACAACAACCACCACAACAAGAACCACCACCACAACCACCACAACTACCACCACCACAACAACCACCACCACACAAACAACAACCACCACAACAAGAACCACCACCACAACCACCACAACCACCACTACCACCACCACCACCACAACAACCACCACCACAAACACCACCACTACAACCACCACAACCACCACCACAACAACAACCACCACAACAACAACCACCACTACAACCACCACCACTACAACCACCACAACAACAACCACCACAAAAACCACCACCACAAAAACCACCACCACAACAACCACCACAACAACAACCTCCAACCTGGGTGCCGCCATCTTGAACTTGGCGATGGTGTCCGGGTTATGACGTCACCGTGAATCGTTTGTTCGATTCTCATCGATTCTAATCGTTGGTTTGCGCGTCTCTCTCTGCTAATCGATTACCATCGATTATAATCATCGTTTTGCGTGTCTCCCGCTCTCTGATGATCGATTATCATCGATTACATTATCCGTTCCGCTGGCTCCGTGTGGCTATGAGATGTTGACCACCTCGCCTGGTCTACAGGAGGTCGTGGGTTCGATCTCTCTCTCATCATCATCACGGTGGCTATGAGATGTTGACTACCTCGCCTGGTCTACAGGAGGTCGTGGGTTCGATCTCTCTCTCATCATCATCACGGTGGCTATGAGATGTTGACCACCTCGCCTGGTCTACAGGAGGTCGTGGGTTCGATCTCTCTCTCATCATCATCACGGTGGCTATGAGATGTTGACTACCTCGCCTGGTCTACAGGAGGTCGTGGGTTCGATCTCTCTCTCATCATCATCACGGTGGCTATGAGATGTTGACCACCTCGCCTGGTCTACAGGAAGTCGTGGGTTCGATCTCTCTCTCATCATCACGGTGGCTATGAGATGTTGACCACCTCGCCTGGTCTACAGGAGGTCGTGGGTTCGATCTCTCTCTCATCATTATCACGGTGGCTATGAGATGTTGACCACCTCGCCTGGTCTACAGGAGGTCGTGGGTTCGATCTCTCTCTCATCATCATCACGGTGGCTATGAGATGTTGACCACCTCGCCTGGTCTACAGGACGTCGTGGGTTCGATCTCTCTCTCATCATCATCACGGTGGCTATGAGATGTTGACTACCTCGCCTGGTCTACAGGGGGTCGTGGGTTCGATTCCGACCCTGACGATGCCTGCTGCTGTCTGTGCTAGTGGGGAGCGGTGGTGCAGCGGTTAGCGCCCTGGTCTATAAACCTGGCGACCCGGGTTGGAGGAGGTGACGGTGGTGGTGGGTGGGGGGGTGTTGGTGGTGATGTTGGTGGTGGCTGCGAAAGCAGGGAGACGGGAAATTAGTGGCAAATGGCGGTTGTTGTCTGTGTCCCAGCGTGTCTTTGTCTGTGTGTCTGTCTTTTAAAATGTGTCTATGTCCATCTGTGTGTGTCTTTTAAAACGTGTGTCTGCCTCAGTGGAGGAGGCTCGTGAAGGACGCTACTGGGCAGTTGGAGGCAGTCGCCCTCCAACAACAACGGAGGGCGGAAGAGCGACGCTCACAACAACGAGCGGAGCGCCGGGTGGCTAAAGCACAGCAAGTTGGTACAGTAGGGGGCACAGGTGGTGCATCAGCCAGTCATCTCGGTCATCTCAGTCAGTCGACCCGTGGCACCTGCTGGGTCTGCCCCGTGACCTGCCAGCGGGTGTTCGACACTTCACGTGGCCTCAAGGTGCACATGGCCTGGCACAAGCGTCGTGGTGACGTCACCGCCACTTAGTGGCGAATGGCGGTTGTTGTTGTGTCTGTGTTTGTGTCTATGTCTGTATGTGTCTGTGTGTGTCTGTGTCTGTGTGTCTGTCTGTGTAGTGTATAGAGTAGTGTATAGTGTAGTGTGTAGTGTAGTGTATAGTGTAGTGTATAGAGTAGTGTAAAGTGTACACATTACACGATACACTGTACCAAAAAAACACACTGAGAACGCGCTGCTGATGTTTTATTTGTCTGGCATCATGGCCACACTCCCCGTGTCTCTCTCCCCGTGTGTCTCTCTCCCCGTGTCTCTCTCCCCGTGTGTCTATCTCCCCATGTCTCTCTTCCCGTGTCTCTAATTCTGTGTCTGTCTCCCCGTGTATCTCTCTTCGGTAACATTCTTCAAATCCGGGATACTCTCTCCGCTCCTTCTCTCAGTAATTACATAGATGCCTACACGGGGAGAGAGAGGAAGGGAGGCACAGAGACAGAGAGACAGAGAGAGACACTACAATTACCAACACAGCACAGAGCAAGGCAGTGTGTAGATTCCAGGCAGTTGGCACTCACCAACTCCCAGCGTCTCTTACCTGAATGTCTACGTCTCACCGTGTCTCCGTGTGTCTATGTGTGTCTCTTGGTGTCTCTGTCTATCTCCATGTGTCTCCGTGAGTGTCTGTGAGTCTCTGTAAGTGTCTGTGTCTGTGTGTCTCTGTGTATCTATGTGTGTCTCCGTATTTCTGTGTGTGTGTCTTCGTGTGTCTCTGTGTGTGTGTCTCTGTGTGTCTCTGTATTTCTGTGTCTCTGTGTGTCTTCGTGAGTCTCTGTGTCTCTGTGTGTATGTCTCTATGTGTGTGTCTCCGTGTGTGTCTCTGTGTGTGTCTCTGTGTGTGTCTCCGTGTGTCTCTGTGTGTCTCCATGAGTCTCTGTGTGTGTGTCTCCATGTGTCTCCGTGTGTCTCCACGTGTCTCCGTGTGTCTCCACGTGTCTCAGTGTGTGTGTCTCCGTGTGTGTCTCTGTGTGTGTCTCCGTGTGTCTCCATGTGTCTCCATGAGTCTCTGTGTGTGTGTCTCCATGTGTCTCCGTGTGTCTCCACGTGTCTCAGTGTGTGTGTCTCCGTGTGTCTCTGTGTGTGTCTCTGTGTGTGTCTCCGTGTGTCTCCGTGTGTCTCCGTGTGTCTCCATGAGTCTCTGTGTGTGTGTCTCCATGTGTCTCCGTGTGTCTCCACGTGTCTCAGTGTGTGTGTCTCCGTGTGTGTCTCCGTGTGTGTCTCTGTGTGTGTCTCCGTGTGTGTCTCCGTGTGTGTCTCTGTGTGTGTCTCAGTGTGTGTGTCTCCGTGTGTGTCTCTGTGTGTGTCTCTGTGTGTGTCTCCGTGTTGGAGGCAGTCGCCCTCCAACAACAACGGAGGGCAGAGGAGCGACGCTCACAACAACGAGCGGAGCGCCGGGTGGCTAAAGCACAGCAAGTTGGCACAGTAGGGGGCACAGATGGTGTATCAGCCAGTCATCTCAGTCAGTCGACCCGTGGCACCTGCTGGGTCTGCCCTGTGACCTCCTGCCAGCGGGCGTTCGACACTTCACGTGGCCTCAACCTGCACATGGCCTGGCACAAGCGCCGTGGTGATGTCACCGCCACCTAGTGGCGAATGGTGGTTGTTGTTGTCTCTGTGTCTGTGTCTCGTGTGTTTCCGTGAGTCTCCGTGTGTCTCCGTGAATCTCTGTGTGTCTCTGTGTGTCTCCGTGAGTTTGTGTGTCTCCGTGTGTCTCCGTGAATCTCTGTGTGTCTCTGCGCGTCTCCGTGTGTTTCCGTGAGTCTCCGTGTGTCTCCGTGAATCTCTGTGTGTCTCCGTGTGTCTCCGTGAATCTCTGTGTGTCTCTGCGTGTCTGTGAGTCCACGTGTGTCTCCGTGTGTCCCACTCCTGCGTCTCCCTTTGAATGATCTCGCCAGGACAATGAGGCAGACGAGGGAGAAGATGAGAGGTGGGACTATGGCAACAACCAGCAGAGACCCAGTACCCACACCAGCACCACCATCCAGCACAGAGTCATCCCACACACCATCATCATCATCAGCGGCAGCGGCGGTGATGGTGGTTTTGGAAACGGTGATGGTGGTGGTGCTGTCTACACAGACACAGGGAGACACGGTTAGACACGGGGTGAGATAAACAGACACGGTGAGACATGGGAAGACGTAGAGACATGGTGAGACACGGTGAGACATGGTGAGACATGGTGAGATACAGAGACACGGTGAGAGAGACACGGGGAGACACGGGGAGACACGGTGAGACAGAGAGACACGGGGAGACACGGGGAGACACGGGGAGACACGGTGAGAGAGAGAGACACGGTGAGACATGGTGAGATACAGAGACACGGTGAGAGAGACACGGGGAGACACGGGGAGACACGGTGAGACAGAGAGACACGGGGAGACACGGGGAGACACGGTGAGAGAGAGAGACACGGGGAGACACGGTGAGACACGGGGAGACATGGTGAAATACAGAGACACGGTGAGAGAGAGAGAGACACGGGGAGACTCGGTGTGTGGTGAGGCAAGGGTTCAGCGGGGTGTGAGGGGTGACCCCCGTCCAAGCCCCCGCGCTGCATCCGGATCAAACTTATTCAAAAAAATGATCAGAGTCATTCTTAGTGTACATTGTCGAAAACGACACGGATACAAGAGTGGCGAGGTGAGCGTCGCTCACCTCTGACGGTGAGCGACGCGTACGCAGTGGGGGTCCCCAGGCTGAAGAGGGAGCAGCTGTAGAGCCCCTGGTCCCGCGTGGAGACGCGCGAGATGGTGACGTCCAGCCGGGTGGAGCTCCAGTGCAGCAGAGAGACACGCGGGTCCATGAGGGCTGAGACACGGAGACACAGAGACAGAGAGACACAGAGACAGAGAGACACAGAGAGAGACACAGAGACAGAGAGACACAGAGAGAGAGAGACACAGAGAGAGACACAGAGACAGAGAGACACAGAGAGAGAGAGACACAGAGAGAGAGACACAGAGAGACACAGACAGAGAGACACAGAGAGAGAGACACAGAGAGACACAGACAGACAGAGAGACACGCGGGTCCATGTGGGCTGAGACACGGGGAGACAGGGAGACACCGAGAGAGAGAGAGACAGAGAGAGACAGAGACAGACAGAGATGGTGTTTGCGCTCACCCTTGATGCTCTCGAAGTAGAGTGTGTGACCGTGAGGGTTGCTCCACTGGATTGGGTCTGAGTCCGGATTGTCTGACACGGTGCAGCGTAGAGTGGCCGTGTCTCCCTCGGACACCGTGTCTCCCGTGGCCCACACAAAGAGCGGAGCAGCTGCATGGGAGAGACACGGAAAAAGAGAGACACGGGGAGAGAGACACGGGGAGAGAGACACGGGGAGAGAGACACGGGGAGAGAGACACATGGGAGAGAGACACGGGGAGAGAGACACACGGGGGGAGAGACACGGGGAGAGAGACACACGGGGAGAGACACAGGGAGAGAGAGACACACAGGGAGAGAGACACGGGGAGAAAGACACGGGGAGAGACATGGGGAGAGAGACACGGGGAGAGAGGACACGGGGAGAGAGACACACGGGGAGAGAGACACGGGGAGAGAGAGACACGGGGAGAGAGACACGGGGAGAGAGACACACGGGGAGAGAGAGACACGGGGAGAGAGAGACACGGGGAGAGAGACACGGGAAGAGAGAGACACGGGGAGAGAGACACGGGGAGAGAGACACAGGGAGAGAGACACACAGGGAGAGAGACACGGGGAGAGAGAGACACGGGGAGAGAGACACGGGGAGAGAGACACATGGGGAGAGAGACACGGGGAGACAGACACAGGGAGAGAGACACACGGGGAGAGAGACACGGGGAGAGAGACACGGGGAGAGAGACACGGGGAGAGAGACACACGGGGAGGAGAGAGACACGGGGAGAGAGACACACGGGGAGAGAGACACAGGGAGAGAGAGAGACACGGGGAGAGAGACACACGGGGAGAGAGACACAGGGAGAGAGACACAGGGAGAGAGACACAGGGAGAGAGACACACGGGGAGAGAGACACGGGGAGAGAGACACACGGGGAGAGAGACACGGGGAGAGAGACACACGGGGAGAGAGACACGGGGAGAGAGACACACGGGGAGAGAGACACGGGGAGAGAGACACACGGGGAGAGAGACACGGGGAGAGAGAGAGACACGGGGAGACACGGGGAGACACGGGGTGAGATAAACAGACACGGTGAGACATGGGAAGACGTAGAGACATGGTGAGACACGGTGAGACATGGTGAGATACAGAGTCACGGGGATACACGGGGAGACATGGTGAGATACAGAGACACGAGGAGATACGGGGAGATGTGGTGAGATAGAGAGTCATGGGGAGACCCGGTGAGAGAGAGAGACACGGGGAGACACGGGGAGACATGGTGAGACACGGGGAGACATGGTGAAATACAGAGACACGGTGAGAGACACGGTGAGAGAGACACGGGGAAACACGGTGAGAGAGACACGGGGAGACACGGTGAGACACGGGGAGACATGGTGAAATACAGAGACACGGTGAGATAGACACGGTCAGAGAGAGAGAGACACGGGGAGACTCGGTGTGTGGTGAGGCAAGGGTTCAGCGGGGTGTGAGGGGTGACCCCCCTCCAAGCCCCCGCGCTGCATCCGGATCAAACTTATTCAAAAAAATGATGAGAGCCATTCTTAGTGTACATTGTCGAAAACGACACAGACACAAGAGTGGCGAGGTGAGCATCGCTCACCTCTGACGGTGAGTGACGCGTACGCCGTGGGGGTCCCCAGGCTGAAGAGGGAGCAGCTGTAGAGCCCCTGGTCCCGCGAGGTGACGCGCGAGATGGTGATGTCCATCCTGGTGGAGCTCCAGTGCAGCAGAGAGACACGCGGGTCTGTGTGGGCTAAGACACGGAGACACAGAGACAGAGAGACACAGAGAGAGACACAGAGAGAGAGAGAGACGCAGAGAGACAGAGACAGACAGAGAGACACGTGGGTCCATGTGGGCTGAGACACGGGGAGACAGGGAGACACAGAGAGAGAGACAGAGAGAGACAGAGAGAGACAGAGAGAGACAGACAGAGACAGAGAGAGACAGAGAGAGACAGAGACAGAGAGAGACAGAGAGAGAGACAGAGAGAAACAGAGACAGAGAAAGACAGAGAGAGACAGAGACAGCGCTTGTCGCTCACCCTTGACGCTCTCGAAGTAGAGTGTGTGACCTTGAGGGTTGCTCCACTGAATTGAGTCTGAGTCCGGATTGTCTGACACGGTGCAGCGTAGCGTGGCCGTGTCTCCCTTGGACACCGTGTCTCCCGTGGCCCACACAGAGAGTGGAGCAGCTGCATGGGAGAGACACGGGGAGAGAGAGACACGGGGAGAGCGACACGGGGAGAGAGACACGGGGAGAGAGACATGGGAGAGAGAGACACAGGAAGAGAGAGATATGGGAGAGAGAGTAAACTAAGCTAAATATAAAAACTAAAACTCAAACTTTGTTTTCGTATTGACCAAGCCCCACTCTGACGCTCTTTGTCAGAAGTGATAAAAAAAATGACATCAGCTCCACTGAGGAGGGGGACATCTTGATCGTCATCAAAGAGACACCCACAGACACCCATAGACACCCACAGAGACCCAAAGAGACCCATAGACACCCACAGAGACCCACAACGATCTATAGAGACCAATAGACACGCACAGAGACTCACATAAACCCATAGACACGCACAGAGGCCCACAGAGACACCCATAATCTATGGGTGTCTCTATGGGTCTCTGTGCGTGTCTGCTGGTGTCTACGGGTCTCTGTGGGTGTCTATGTGTCTCTGTGGGTCTCTATGTGTCTGTGTGTGTCTGTGCGTGTCTGCTGGTGTCTACGGGTCTCTGTGGGTGTCTATGTCTCTGTGGGTGTCTATGTGTCTGTGTGTGTCTGTGCATGTCTGCTGGTGTCTACGGGTCTCTGTGGGTGTCTATGTGTCTCTGTGGGTGTCTATGTGTCTGTGTGTGTCTGTGCGTGTCTGCTGGTGTCTACGGGTCTCTGTGGGTGTCTATGTGTCTCTGTGGGTGTCTATGTGTCTCTGTGGGTGTCTATGTGTCTGTGTGTGTCTGTGCGTGTCTGCTGGTGTCTACGGGTCTCTGTGGGTGTCTATGTCTCTGTGGGTGTCTGTGTGGGATCGTCTCCGTGGGGTAGCCACCCCACGGAGACGATCCCCCTCTCTGTGCCTGTGTTGCTCTCTCTGTGTATCTTGGTGATGTCTGTCTGCTTGTGTGTCTGTCTATAGTTTTCTGGTTAGATTTTCTGTTGCTATTTCATTTATACCTGATGATGATTGCTTGTGTTGCAATCGAAACGTCGTATGCTATTATTTAATTTATTATTTTATCTTTATATGTGACTTTACCGAAATAACCAAAGAGTAATTCCTGCAGTCACGAAAGCTCCAAATTTAAGGTTACTGTTGATGTTATTGTTGATGCTATTGTTGATGTTATTGTTGATGTTGTTGATGTTATTGTTGATGCTATTGTTGATGTTATTGTTGATGCTATTGTTGATGTTATTGTTGATGCTATTGTTGATGTTATTGTTGATGTTGTTGATGTTATTGTTGATGTTGTTGACGCTATTGTTGATGTTGTTGATGCTATTGTTGATGTTATTGTTGATGTTGTTGATGTTATTGTTGATGTTATTGTTGATGTTATTGTTGATGCTATTGTTGATGCTATTGTTGATGCTATTGTTGTTACTGTTGATGTTATTGTTGTTATTGTTGATGCTATTGTTGTTACTGTTGATGTTATTGTTGTTACTGTTGATGCTATTAATGATGCTATTGTTGATGCTATTGTTGTTACTGTTGATGTTATTGTTGTTATTGTTGATGCTATTGTTGTTACTGTTGATGTTATTGTTGTTACTGTTGATGCTATTGTTGATGCTATTGTTGTTACTGTTGATGTTATTGTTGTTACTGTTGATGCTATTGTAGGGGCATAGCGCCGGCTGCTGGCGGAGAAGGGTAACTGCGCTGTGCGTGAGTCCTCGCGTCAGCAGGCCACGGTGTAGACGACCGGGGGACCTCTAAAGGGGGAAGTTCACAGCAGGGGAAGTCCCCGGGAACCACACCATGAGAGGGGGACCCTCCGTCGTGGCTGCTCAAGTCCGTCATCGTCGTCGTCTGCGTCTTCACCATCCCGGGGTGCCGCTAGTCACACGGCGCTAGCGACTGTCCTTACCAAGCAGTGCCGCCGACAGCAGACGGTCCTGATGATGACGACGACGATGCAAGTGCGTGCACCCACGTGCGATACAAGTTGCAATCGTGTTGGTTGACAGAGGAGGACACGTCACCTGGCACTTGTAGACGAATTGTTATCAGCAATAGCGTCCTTAAAGATATTGGTGAAATAACGTCAACACTCGATTAGACATGCACCTCTTAACTCCTCATCCTCCACCTCCTCCGATTACACCCCTTACACCACCTCCTCTACCTCCTCCCCCTTCCCCTCCCCCCCCTCCACCTCCTCCTCCCCCTCCTCCTCACCTCCTCCACCTCCTCCTCCTCCACCTCCTCCTCCTCCACCTCCACTTACACCTCCTCCTCACCTCCTCCTCCTCCACCTCCTCCTCCACCTCCTCCACCTACTCCACCTCCTCCACCTCCTCCTCCACCTCCTCCACTAACACCTCCTCCTCACCTCCTCCACCTCTTCGTGCCGCTCCATCTTCCCCGCCGCGTGGGGCGCACGGAGCGCTGGCGGCGGCGTTCGCCAGGAGGAGGAAGGGCGCCAGCGAGCGCAGGCGGCAGGAGGTGGAGGAGCTCACGCCGCTGGCGGAGAGCGTCGCCTTGCCGCCCGCAGACACCGCGGGCGGGCGTGGGGAGGTGGGCAGGGAGGTGGGCAGGGTGGTGGTGGGGGGGTGGTGGTGGGGGGGGTGGTGGTGGTGGGGGTGGTGGTGGGGGGGGTGGTGGTGGTGGTGTAGGGGGTGGTGGTGGTTGTGGCAGCGGTGGTGGTGGTTTTGGCTGCGAGAGCAGGAAGAGACGGGAAATTAGTGGCGAATGGCGGTTGTTGTCTGTGTGTCCCAGCGTGTCTTTGTGTGTGTCTGTGTGTCTTTTAAAATGTGTCTGTGTCCATCTGTGTGTGTGTCTCTGTGTGTCTCTGTGTGTGTGTCTTTGTGTGTGTGTGTCTTTGTGTGTGTGTCTTTGTGTGTGTGTTTTTGTGTGTCTTTGTGTGTGTGTCTTGTTTATGTTTAATTCGTGGTTTCGTGGTAATTCATTGAAGGTGGAGGGGTTACCAGCCCTTCGCACCCGTCCAGAGCCCCTGTTTAGCCACTGTGGTGGTCACAGACACCATGGTGGTCACAGACGCCATGCCGGATCCAAGCAAGAATATCTGCTGGACTACATAGTGACGGACCAGCGGATGCGAGCCCATGTCCTTGACACCAGGACCTACCGTGGAGCTGATCTGCCCTCTGACCATCGACTAGTCATCTGTAAGATGCGCCTGCCATTCTTCCACTCTGGTGGTGGGTGTACACCCAGGATCCCATTCCAACCAAAAGTGGCCTGGTCTCAGCTGATGAAAGTTGCAAGCGAGAATTTCATCATCGCTTGCAGCTGGGGTTGGCATCGTCCCCCACTCCACCTGATGTCGAGGATAAATGGGCGAGATTTAAGACTGTGACTCATGCAGCTGCAATGGCTGCTTTGGGTACGCGGTCCAGACCTCCCCAGAAACCCTGGCTGACAGAGGAGATGTTCAGGATAGTTGAGAAAAAGCGACAGGCCCACTCTCATCGGCTACAGCATCCCACGTCAGAGAATGAGGAGGTGTACCGCAGCCTTCGCTCGGAGGTTCGGAGAGCCGTGAGGCGCTGCAAGGATGGGTGGTGGTCGCGGGTTGCTGAGGAGATGGAATCTGCCTCAGTGGCCCGCGATCACAAATCACTATTTAACTCCATCAAAAAAGTAACCTGCAGCGCCACACCTATTACCATCATTAGGGGAAAAAACGGTGATCCAATCTCCGACCCCCAGGAACAGGTTTGCAGATTTGCTGAGCATTTCTGTGAGGTCCTGGGGGAGGGAAAATCTCTCAGCCAGGAAAACATCATGGCACAAAGTGGGAATAACCCTGCTGAGGCTTCGGTGCCTCAAATATTGGAAGAAGTAACACCCTGTGAGTGGCTGGCTGAGGTGCCATCTGTTGAGGAAGTACTGAAGGCGATCCGGAGTCTGAGACCAGGAAAGGCACCGGGCAGAGATGATCTCCCAAGCGAAATGCTGAGGGAGGGTGGCGCTTGTGCACAGACTGCCCTATATGACATCATAACAACAGTCTGAACCGCTGGACGGGTACCGCAGGATTGGAAGGATGCCCTGGTGGTCCCCCTCTTTAAGAAGGGGGACCGCACAGACTGTAACAACTACAGGGGCATCTCACTCCTCAGTGTGCCGGGAAAGGTCCTGGCAAGGATTATTCAACATCGCCTTGCTAGGCACACTGAGTAGAGGCTTGCGGAACCCCAATGTGGTTCCAGGAAAGGGCGGTCCTGTACAGATGCCATATTTTCTGTCCGTCTGCTACAGCAGAGGTGTAGGGAATTCCAACAAGACCTACATCTCTGCTTTATTGACCTGGTCAAGGCCTATGATACCATCAGTAGGCCTGGGCTCTGGGTTGTTCTTCATGCTTTCGGAGTCCCTGACCCTCTGCTCACGATCATTAAGGACCTTCTTGATGGTGAGCGGGCCCGGGTAAAACTACGTGGCCGGGAGTCGGAGCCTTTCCCTGTACACCTTGGGGTGCGACAGGGATGTCCTCTGGCTCCCACATTATTTAACATCTATTTCGACTGCGTAGTTCGTGAAGCCTTCAATAGCTGTACCGGGGGAATTTCCATTTGGTACAGATATAATGGGAGGCTGATCGACGCCCGGGTGCGATCAAGGGATGGCTCCCTATTGGTCAACCACGTTATGTATGCCGATGATTTGGTAATAGCTGCTCATTCAGAAGAGGAGTTGGAGACGCTGCTGTTGAGACTGGAGCGTGCCACTAAGAGGTGGGGCCTTACCATCAGCCCCACCAAAACTAAGCACCTGCCTGGGTATTTTGTACCATCGGACACTCAACCCCCACAACTCCCAATCGGTGATGGGGCAGTTGTGGAGAGAGTGGAGAGTTTCCCATACCTGGGCAGTGTGCTTATGACCGGCTCCAGTTTATCAGCAGAGGTCTCACTCCGAATCAGTCGAGCGGCAATATCTTTTCATCGGTTGCGTAACGCTGTGTGGAAGCTACCTGGTCTGTCGCTCCGCACGAAGCTTCAGGTCTTCTCGGCCACGGTCATTCCCTCCCTTCATAATCAACGTTTTTGGGTTTAGATCGCGTTATTGCCCGATGATGCTGGATGCAATTACCAGCGAAACGTCGTACTCAAATTGTAAATGTTGTGGCTTCAACACACCGGTGGGCTAAAGCAGTGAACTATTTGTCTTTTGTCAACGTGACACATTTTTACTGATTGGCCGTGTCGGGTGGTGGAGGGTTACGACACATTTATAAATAACGCGATCTAAACCCAAAAACGTTGATTATGAATAACATTGGTCGCAAAAGCCTACGTGTTAAATTCCCTCCCTTCTCTACGCTTGTGAAACGTGGACCCCCCTAATGGAGCATCTTCGCCGGTTGGAAACATTTAGGCTGGCCTGCCTATGATCCATCCTGGGTTTAACCAGGCTGGATTGTGTGAGGAGCTCACAAATCCTTGAAAGATCTGGGCAAAGTCCCATCGGTGAGCTCCTCCGGCAGGCAAGGCTGCGTTGGCTGGGTCATGTAGCCCGCATGCCCAGCTACCGCATGCCTAAACAGCTTTTGTTCGGCCGGATCGAGGGGGCTAAAAGGGCGCGGCACGGGCTAGAGAAGAGATGGAGTGATGTGGTACAGGAGGACGTGGAGCTGAGTGGACTTGCCGATGACTGGTACCAGCGGTGTCAAGATCGGCCTCAGTGGAGGAGGCTCGTGAAGGACGCTACTGGGCAGTTGGAGGCAGTCGCCCTCCAACAACAACGGAGGGCGGAGGAGCGACGCTCACAACAACGAGCGGAGCGCCGGGTGGCTAAAGCACGGCAAGTTGGTACAGTAGGGGGCACAGGTGGTGCATCAGCCAGTCATCTCGGTAATCTCGGTCAGTCGACCCGTGGCACCTGCTGGGTCTGCCCCGTGACCTCCTGCCAGCGGGCGTTTGACTCTTCACGTGGCCTCAAGGTGCACTTGGCCTGGCACAAACGTCGTGGTGACGTCACCGCCACTTAGTGGCGAATGGCGGTTGTTGTTGTGTGTGTCTTTGTGTGTGTGTCTTTGTGTGTGTGTGTGTGTGTCTTTGTGTGTGTGTGTCTTTGTGTGTGTGTCTTTGTGTGTGTGTCTTTGTGTGTCTTTGTGTCTGTGTGTGTGTCTGTGTGTGTGTCTTTGTGTGTGTGTGTCTGTGTGTGTGTCTGAGGTAGAGAGGTGGTGAGGTGAGCGTCTCTCACCGCTGACGGCGAGCCAGACGCTGGCCCTGGGGCTGTCTGGGCTGGAGAGGGAGCAGCTGTAGTGCCCCTGGTCCCGCGGGGTGGGTTGGGAGAGGAGGAGGTCCGCAGCGGTGTAGCTCCATCTTATAATGTAGACACGCGGGTCATCGTAGGCTGGGACACGGGGGGACACGGGGAGACACGGGGAGACAGAGAGAGACATGGGGATATAGAGAGAGAGAGGGAGACAAACACAGACAGAAAGACAGAGGGACAGAGAGAGAGAGACGTCGGGATAGAGAGACAAAGAGAGAGAGAGAGACACAGCGACAGAGACAGAGACAGAGGGACAGAGACAGTGCTTGCCGCTCACCTCGGTGGTTCTGGAAGTAGTATGTCTTCCCGTGAGGGTTGCTAAACTCTATCTCGGCATCCTCCGGATTTCTCGACACCGTGCAGATAAAAACGACAAGGTTTCGCTCGATTTCTGCCGTGATCCACACAGAGATGGGAGGAGCTGCTTGGGAGACACACGGGGAGAGAGACACTCACCCACTCACCCACTCACCTACTCACCCACTCACCCACTCACCTACTCACCCACTCACCCACTCACCTACTCACCCACTCACCCACTCACCTACTCACCCAACCACCCACACACAGATCGCTAACCACTACACCACCACTCCCCCCCACACACACACACACAGTGTGCTAACCACTGCACCACCACTCCCCACACTCACACACAGATCGCGCTAACCACTGCACCACCACTCCCCACACTCACACACAGATCGCGCTAACCACTGCACCACCACTCCCCACACACACAGATCGCGCTAACCACTGCACCACCACTCCCCACACACACAGATCGATAACCACTGCACCACCACTCCCCACACACACACACAGATCGATAACCATTGCTGCCTACAAAATGCCATCTCGCCAAACGTTGACCGCCCGTCGGCAACTCGGGTGTGCTTCGCCTTTGCGATGCAAATTATCGAGACATTTTCATAGCACCGCAGCCATCACACGATGTGTGTGCAGTCTACATTATAGACTGTATATGTGTGTGCAGTCTACATTATAGACTGTATATATGTGTGGACAGTCTACATTATTGACTGTATCTGTGTGCACAGTCTACATTAGAGACTATCTGTGTGTAGACAGTCTACATTATAGACTGTATCTGTGTGTGAATGCGATGCCTTGGCAGTGCAGCACAAAGGGCCCCCCCCCAACCAACTCCTCCCGACCCCCCTCAAAATCTCAGTGGGCGCCTTACCTGGTGAACTAAAATAACAAGAGTGAGTGGTTTGTAAAACAAGACAGAGGCTCGTACGTGATGGGTGAGGCCGTCCGCTCACGTCCATCAGCATCATCAGCAGCAGCTGGACTTGAAGCTGCCTCCAGCCAGCCATCGTGAACCCAGAGCGCGACCTCGCTCTGTCCTCTCCCAAGGAGAACCCTGTGGTGGTGCTGGTGGTGGTGGAAGAGACACGGAGAGAGACACGGAGAGAGACACGGGGAGAGACACGGAGAGAGACACGGAGAGAGAGAGACACGGAGAGAGACACGGGGAGAGACACGAAGAGAGACACGGAGAGTGACACGGGGAGAGACACGGAGAGTGACACGGAGAGAGAGAGAGACACACGGGTGTGTGCTCGTCATTGGCCCTCGGCTCCTGTACGCTGCGAAACAGGTTCAGCGCACGTGGCTAACACGTGTTGAGGGGTAGAGTGATGACGTCATGTCACACTCGCCTCGGGAGCAGTGACGTCATGTCACACTCGCCTCGGGAGTAGTGACGTCAGGCTAGATGCATGAGGAGGAGGTCACGGGACAGACCCTGCAGGTGCCGTGGGTCGTACTGCTGTGCCAGGCTAGGTGCATGAGGAGGAGGTCACGGGACAGACCCTGCAGGTGCCATGGGTTGTACTGCTGTGCCAGGCTAGGTGCATGAGGTGGTCACGGGACAGACCCTTCAGGTGCCGTGGGTTGTACTGCTGTGCCAGGCTAGGTGCATGAGGAGGAGGTCTATGTACTACACACACCACGCACAGACAAAGCTCCCTCAGGTAGCCTCTAGCAGGCTGTAGGGGCAAGTGCCGTTCATAGCGAGTAGCAGCAGCAGTGTCTATGTACTACACACCACACACAGACAAAGCTACCCCAGGTAGCTTGATTACTGCAGGAATTAAAGAGTTTAATATTTTTTTTTTATCATCAAATCTATTTTCTTTCCACGTGATTTTACCGAAATCTCGCTCCACTCCTCGTGTCTGGGGCAGCAGCTGAGATGGGGGCGCTGCTCGTTCAGCGCGCGGGAGGTCGCGGGTTCGATCCCCGCATCCTCCACGCAAACAACATTTTTCAAAAAGGAAACTCCGTTTTTACATTCACGAGCAGAGAAGCGATTGCGCTGAAGCTAATGAACGTGTTTCACTGCGACAACAACAACAAGCCGCCAAGAGGCTTCCTCGGGGTGCAGCTCTCAGCTGGCGCCTCTCGCGTTCTCACGAGCGCCGCCTGCCGCCCAGAGGCGGGAGTCTTCAGCGCAGCGAGCAACTCGCGCCGCACTTTTACATCAACTAAGATGCGGGTTTAGTAAACTGCAAATCTTAATTCAAAATTGAGGGCGACGAGAGGTCATCGTCTTCTAAAGCTGTTTCACCAATGTGAACATGTCCCCAACAATAACGCTGGGGCGTTACATTTAAAATTTTATTTAAAAAAATATTCCCCGTGGAGGAGGCGGGCATCGATCCGGCGACCTAAACATGGGAGAATTGAACATATTAAGTGGCGTGAGCACGCGACCAGGTACGCTGATGTCTCTGTAGCATCGAGAGGGTCCTAGTGTCGTTGGTAGCGTGCAAGCTGTGTGTGTCATCTTCTTGGTTCGTTCGGTAAAGTCACGTAGAAAAAAATAAAATAAAAAATTTCAACCGTATAATAAAATACTTACTTTATTATTATTTTATTATGCTTTATTTTTATTAAATTTTTATTATTTTAATAATAAAAATAAAACATAATAAAATCATTATTATTTTTTGTATAATAAAAGAATAATTTTGTTTTATTTTGATTATTTTATTATTTCCATTCTACGTGACTTTACCGAAAGAACACATGTGTGTGTGTGTACGTGTGTGTATTATGACTACACGTACACGTACACACGTACACACACGTGTACGTGTGTGTACGTGCGGTGCGTGCTGTCAGAGTCTTCCGGAAGACGCTGGGTCAAATTTAACCCCCATTTAAAATTTGATTTAAAAAAATATATTGACCTTGGAAGATGCGGGAATCGATCCCGCCACCTCTCGCATGCCAAGCGCGTGGGGGTCTCTTGTCTTCTTCCCGCCACGCGTCACTCTCAGCCTGTGGAGGGGGGGTGGATGGGGGGGTGGATGGGGGGGTGGATGGGGGGGTGGATGGGGGGGTGGATGGGGGGGTGGATGGGGGGGTGGATGGGGGGGTGGAGGGATGGGGGGGGGGGTAGATGGATGAGGGGGAGTGGAGGGCTGGAGGGGGGGGGATTGGCGGAGGGCGGGTCACGTGATGGGGGGGAGGGGCAGTCACGTGATGGGGGGGAGGGGCAGTCACGTGATGGGGGGGAGGGGCAGTTACGTGATGGGGGGAGGGGCAGTCACGTGATGGGGGGAGGGGCAGTCACGTGATGGGGGGAGGGGCAGTTACGTGATGGGGGGAGGGGCAGTCACGTGATGGGGGGAGGGGCAGTCACGTGATGGGGGGAGGGGCAGTCACGTGATGGGGGGAGGGGCAGTCACGTGGCTACTTGTGGGTGGGGGGAGTTTGTTGGTGTGAGGGCGAGTGGAGGGAGTGGATTGAGGTGCGGAGCGAGAGAGACACAGAGAGAAGGCGAGTGGTGGTGATGGTGGTGGTGATGGTGGTGATAGTGATGGTGGTGATGGTGATGATGGTGGTGATGGTGATGATGGTGGTGATGATGGTGGTGGTGATGATGGTGGTGATGATGGTGGTGGTGATGATGGTGGTGATGATGGGTGGTGATGATGGTGGTGATGATGGTGGTGATGATGGTGGTGGCGGTGATGGTGGCGGTGATGGTGGCGATGATGGTGGTGATGATGGTGGTGGTGATGGTGGTGGTGATGATGGTGGTGATGATGGTGGTGGTGATGGTGGTGGCGGTGATGGTGGTGGCGGTGATGGTGGTGGCGGTGATGGTGGTGGCGGTGATGGTGGTGGCGATGGTGGTGGTGGTGATGGTGGTGGCGGGTGATGGTGGTGATGGTGGTGATGCTGGTGATGGTGGTTGAGGTGGAGGTGGTGGTGGTGATGGTTGTGGTGGTAATGATGGTGGTTATGGTGATGATGGTGATGATGGTGGTGGTGGTGGTGATGATGGTGATGATGGTGGTGGTGGTGATGATGGTGATGATGGTGGTGGTGGTGATGATGGTGATGATGGTGATGATGGTGGTGGTGGTGATGGTGGTGATGATGGTGATGATGGTGATGATGGTGGTGGTGGTGATGGTGGTGATGGTGGTGATGGTGGTGGTGATAGTGATGGTGGTGGTGGTGATGATGATGTTGTTGATGATGATGTTGTTGATGATGTTGTTGATGATGATGTTGTTGGTGATGATGATGTTGTTGATGATGTTGATGATGTTGTTGATGATGGTGTTGATGATGATGTTGATGATGATGATGTTGTTGGTGATGATGTTGTTGATGATGTTGTTGATGATGTTGATGATGTTGTTGATGATGATGGTGTTGATGATGATGTTGATGATGATGTTGTTGATGATGATGTTGATGATGTTGATGATGATGTAGTTAATGTTGTTGATGATGATGTTGTTGATGTTGATGGTGATCACCCACGATGCGCCCCGCGTGTTCACGCCGTTAGAACTGAGCTGCTCACCGGGTCGCGTCGTGCAAAGGGCGCCAAATTGTGGGGGGAGGGGATTTTTTTCCCTCTTCCTGTCAACGGGGGCATTATTTATTTATTTGTTAATTTATTTTTTTGTCTTTTATTACATTTTTATATTTTACTAGCATAAGTACCCGGCGTTGCCCGGGTGAAAAATATGTTTCTTAATAACCTTACATATATACACAGATGGGCTGCTACCCCCCCCCCCCCCGCGCTACAATAATACTGTCTAATCGCTATAATTTTATTATCTACCGACCCTATAATAGTAATTGCACACATTGGGGTGGGGGGGGAGTGAAGAGGACGTGAAACTTTGATGAATTTACCTCAGAGTCGCGTGTTAATGCGCATATTTTTAACGGGAATTAAAAATGGCGTCCACCCCGCGGCGAATGCGTCGCTACCCGTTGCCAGCGGCAACCGTCGTGGAAAACCAAACGGACCAATCGCGTCTCGCAAATCCCTCACATTTCGGCCAATGAAACTGCGTATGGTCCGGCGACACACACACACACAGACACACACACAGACACACAGACACACACACAGACACACACACACAGACACACACACACACAGACACACACAGACACACACACAGACACACACACAGACACACACACAGACAGACAGATTTGCGATTTTATATATATAGATTTATTTTCTTCTTCTTGGTTCTTTCGGTAAAGTCACGTAGAAGGTAAATAATAAAATAATAAAAATGGGTGCGTGGGGGGGGGTAGTGGGGGGGGGTGATATTGGGTGGTGATGATGAAGGTTGATCCATAGACAGACTCACAACACAGAGACCCATAGACTACAATGTTATCTCAATAGGAATCGATTCAAACCGCTCACCGTTTCTATCACAATCGATTCGCATGGTATCCCAATAGGAATCGATTCTATCCGCTCTAATCACTAGCTACATCGATTCCTACGTTATCCTAATGTGAATCCATTTCATTAGAACAAATCACCATAATCGATTCCCACGTAATCGAAAATGTATTCGATTCCATCTTGCACTCACCACCACTGTCAATTCCAATGCAGTCCCACTAGGGATCGATTCCATCGGCTCCATTTTTGACCACAATCGATTCACTTGTTATCCCAATAGGAATCGATCCGAGTTTATTATTTGACCTTGAATCGATTTTCTCTGCACGTGACTTCGGCTGTCGCGTGGTGTGAGTGGGGAGTGGTGGTCCAGTGGTTAGCGCACTGTATGTGAGTGAGTGGTGGTGCAGTGGTTAGCGCACTGTATGTGAGTGAGTGGTGGTGCAGTGGTTAGCGCACTGTATGTGAGTGAGTGGTGGTGCAGTGGTTAGCGCACTGTATGTGAGTGAGTGGTGGTGCAGTGGTTAGCGCACCGTGTGTGTGTGTGGGGAGTGGTGGTGCAGTTGTTAGCGCACTGTGTGTGAGTGGGGGAGATCCGGGCCCCGTGGTGTCGACGTTTCTCTATTTCCTCCTTCACGACGTTTGAATGACAACAACAAACAACGTGTCACTGTCGTCGTCATCATCACCAGCGTCTCGCGTGCCTCTCTCACAGACTGCCCCGGCGATGTCGGCCTGCTCTTGGGCCGAAGCCTCGGGCTCGCCTAGCGGGGCTGCCGGGAGAGGCGCGCCTCGAGGCGGCCAGCGCAGTAGGCCGCAGGCGCCCTCCCGCCGCGGGCTCGTCGAGGAGAGCGACTGGGCGTGGTGGGTTCAGTGCGCGGCTGCTGTTGGTCCCCACGTGACCACGTGACCACGCCGCTCGCCGCCACCGCCGCGTGTTGGGGACCACTTAGTCGGGGGGGGGGCTGGTTCAGGTTTCACTGATTTAAGTGTAGTGTGTAGTGTAGTGTGTAGTGCAGTGTGTAGTAGTGTATAGTGTAGTGTATAGTAGTGTGTAGTGTATAGTAGTGTGTAGTGTAGTGTATAGTGTAGTGTATAGTAGTGTGTAGTGTAGTGTGTAGTGTAGTGTATAGTGTAGTGTATAGTGTAGTGTATAGTAGTGTAGTGTATAGTAGTGTAGTGTGTAGTGTAGTATAATAGTACAGTGCTAGTGTATAGAGTAGTGTATAGTGTAGTGTGTAGTGTATATAGTAGTGTATAGTGTAGTGTATAGTAGTGTATAGTGTAGTGTATAGTGTAGTATATAGTAGTGTAGTAGTGTATAGTGTAGTGTAGTATAATAGTACAGCACTAGTGTATAGTGTAGTGTATAGTGTGTAGTGTAGTGTATAGTATAGTGTATAGTGTAGTGTATAGTATAGTGTATAGTAGTGTAGTGTATAGTGTAGTATACTTGTACAGCACTAGTGTATAGTGTAGTGTATAGTGTAGTGTATAGTATAGTGTATAGTAGTATAGTGTATAGTGTAGTATACTAGTACAGCACTAGTGTATAGTGTAGTGTATAGTGTAGTGTCGTGTATAGTAGTGTAGTGTATAGTGTACTAGTTCAGCACTAACCGGTGTGTTGGAGAGCCAAGCCACAACATTTACAATCGGAGTACGACGTTTCTCCAGTAGTTGCAACTGGCTTCATCAGGCGACAAGCCGGATTTGTGTGGGGAAATGCTGTTTCGTTTGTGTTAAATTTACCAAATCCGTTTTAATAATGATTTTGCGTGTGCCAGGAAATGAGAGTACCTGAAAAAAAAGCTAAGGTTTTTTAAAATCCTTTATATTAAGTTCACTTGCTTGCGCGCTTACGACCGTGCAAATCTTTCGGTCGTTTTTTAACCCACTTCCCGTGATCTAATCGAGCTGACATTTTGCACACAGACTCGTTGTGCGTGACAATTTATTTTCGTGAAAAAAATTTTGCTAAATTTTACACTTTTTAGGTAATTTTTTTAAATATTAAATTACCAATTGCTTAATGGTGGCAGGCAATCATCTGACCCATAGGTGGCAGCCATCTCAAGCCAGAGGACGAGAGGACGCTAGCCGCCCGTTTCAAAGACCAATGTGGGCTGGGTTGTGGCGCATTGAACACGCATATAAAGGATTTATAGTGAAAAACTTAGTTTTTACGGGTTAATTTTTTTAAATTCCCATTGTGATAAACACGAAATAGCCTGTGAAGTTAGGCCTAACCTCCTCCCCCCTCCCTACAATCGCTGTTGGCCCACACGCACACACACACACTGCAGTGAGCAGGCAAGTGATTGCCAGAGGTGACTCGCGTATGTGACTTACTAATGCGTCCGGACACAGACGAGAGACGCACACATGCAGACTAAACGCGGCCACGCACAGCCACAAAGACCACACACACACCATGCAGATTACGTGCAGACACGCAGAGATTACACGGATGCGTAAAAACAAGATACAAAATACGTACTCGCAGACTAAATTAGACACGCACACCCACACACAAATACATGTCCATACAATTTGTATGTGCACATGTGTTTGAAATAGTGTAGTGTATAGTGTAGTGTATAGTGTAGTGTATAGTGTAGTGTATAGTGTAGTATACTAGTACAGCACTAGTGTATAGTGTAGTGTATAGTGTAGTGTATAGTAGTGTATAGTGTAGTGTATAGTGTAGTATACTAGTACAGCACTAGTGTATGTAGTGTATAGTAGTGTAGTGTATAGTGTAGTGTGTAGTGTATAGTATAGTATGCTAGTACAGCACTAGTGTATAGTGTAGTGTATAGTGTAGTGTATAGTGTAGTGTATAATAGTGTAGTGTATAGTATAGTATACTAGTACAGCACTAGTGTATAGTGTAGTGTATAGTGTAGTGTATAGTAGTGTATAGTGTAGTGGGTGGGGAGCGGTGGCGCAGCTGTTAGCGCTACGCTGCGCTACGAACCTGGCGACCCGAGTTCAATTCCCTGCTTGCGGTCAACACCAGTGACGATTATTTGAACCAATCCTGGGCCTTCCCTAGGTCGACTCGGCCTTAAATGAGCACCTGGTGCAGTGTGTAAACATCGCCACTGGTGTTGGCCACCCACCCCCTCGTGTGCCGTGCCGGCCTTCATAGGTGCTCGCAAACAGCACTTGCCCCAACAGTCTGTACTGGCTATACGGGGGATATTTGTCTTTGTGTATGTGCACACACACAAAACAAGATACGTCTCCCACCATAGCCCTCTTTAGTTTGTTGGGTAAAGTGCTGTTTGGGAACATCTATGAAGGCTGGTTGGGCTGTAAGAGTTCTATGGATTAGATCACCTGAATGAGAAGAGTAGTGCGTTGATATTGAGATGTGGTTCCATTATGTTTCATACTAATCCAAACATATCTTTTCTTAAAGCGTTATGGATGAAGGCAGGGAATTACTTTAAATGAATGGCAGCGACTACATGTAATGATTGATGTTGGCAAACGTGGCATCAGTTATATCAACAAATGTACATCAGCATTGGGAGCTGAAATTACCATGACATTGTGATGCAAATGTAATGGGTTCCGGAGACACTTGTAGAGGTAACTTCTTTATTACAATCCAACACTCCAACAGTCCTGATACTCTGTTACAGCCTAGGTACACAGCCTAGGTACACAGCCTAGGTACACAGCCTAGCGACACAGCCTAGATACACAGCCTAGGTACACAGCCTAGCGACACAGCCTAGATACACAGCCTAGGTACACAGCCTAGGTACACAGCCTAGGTACACAGCCTAGGTACACAGCCTAGGTACACAGCCTAGATACACTACTCTGGCTACGCTCTGGAACTCGCCCTCACAAGGACGTAGAGCCGGGAGTTCCAGAGTCCCACCACTGGCCCTCACAGTGTCCCAGGGTCCTGAGATGGCTGGTCTCGGGTCTTGGGTCTTGAGCTACAACTGGCCCCAATCGTCCAGGGAGCTGCCCTTTTATGCCTCGTCCCCAACGAGGGGTGGCGTTGTGTGCGCCCCCAGATATCCCACAGAGCACACACAGCCCCCCCCTGTTGGTGGCGCCAAGCGGCTTAAGTGTCTGGGGTGCCTGGGATCCTAGCGCCTAGCGCCAAGGGGCTTAAGCGTCTGGGTAGCCTGGGATCCTAGTGCCTGTCGCCAAGGGCTTATCTGCCTAGGGTCCCAGAGCCCCCAGCAGCCCCTCCCCTCTTATGTCACGACACAAGGGCTGTGTTGGAAACTCTTCCTTTGTTGCCAATGTCTGCTCGTCTCCCTTGTGCTGTTGCATGTTCAGCCCCATCTGTTTGGACACGATAGAAGAGCCGTACATGACCAAGTGTGGCCACAGCTTCTGGTATGTGCGTGTCTGCTCGGAGGAGAATTGCTTCTGTTCCGTCTTGCAAAACACTCGCAGACCAAGTTTCTCGCAATCCAAGGTTTTACTGTACTTTGTTGTTGCATTCCATTTCTTTCCACCGTCCGGCGAATGCGCGACAATATTCGGTGATTGGTAAATTTTCCAATGATGCTGATAACGGCGATTGCCAATTTACTCGCCGTTGCATTTTGTCTGCGTTTCAGTTGCAAATGCATCCGTCGGAGTCTGGAGGAGAACAATAGCTGCCCAAAGTGCAGTTCCGCCATTAAGAATTCAAAGCAGATATATCCAAACTTCCTCTGTGAGTTGTTTTTTACTTATTTTCCATCCACCTGCATTTTTCGCAAATTTTGTTTCACGGCAATGCAACACAGGCCTTCAACGATTGATGCTCTGCAAACCTCCTGGCTACCATCAAAGGTTTGTTCAAGTTCAAGTTTCATGTATTAGGTGTAGCCATGTGAGCCATTCGGCTCTTGAATCGGGTGCAACTGCAACAAACAAAAAACAAAAACATGAACAAGAAAACATCTTAAAGTGAATATGTGACTGAGTACAAACAGAAAATCCAAGAAAAGACAGCAAAATATTGCAGAAAAAACACCGTACACCAACGCTGTGTGCAAAAATCCCAGTGGGATGCAAGTCAAACAACAACAACAACCACAAGACAGCTTAGATTAAGGCCATCAGTCTAACTCTGTACTACAACAACACAAACATGGCTAAAACAATACACTTTTCGAAATCACCAAAATAAAGCCATGAAAGCAATGAAAAAGCAATCATAGGAACTGTGACGGAATTTTACACGAAGCCATCCAGATATACAAACACAGACGTAACTTCAACTAATAAAAGTAAAATAAAAATAAAATTAAAATCTTTTATTTTTATTTAACTTTTATTAATTTTTATTTTTTACCTACGTGACTTTACCGAAAAAACCTAAGAATATGAATCCTTGCAGTCACGAAAGCTTCAAATCTAGAATAACTTCAACTGTGATGATGGGTACAAGCTGAGTAATAATGGGAAAGATGTTATTAACCATGCAAAAAAGATTTAACGACACATATTTGGACCATCTTATTTAACAGGTACTATTCTACTTTACCGAGCGTTGACATCCCCAGCGTTTAACAGTACTCTCCTTTTTAAATCCTTTATATTAAGTTCGCTTGCTTGCTTGCTTGCGCGCTTACGACCGTGCAAATCTTTCGGTCGTTTTTTATTTAAATCCTTTATATTAAGTTTGCTTGCTTGCTTGCGCGCTTACGACCGTGCAAATCTTTCAGTCGTTTTTTAACCCACTTCCCGTGATCCAATCGAGCTGACATTTTGCACACAGACTCGTTGTGCGTGACAATTTTTTTTAGTGAAAATTTTTTTCCATAACTTTACACTTTTTAGGAAAAAATTAATTATATTTAATTACCAATTGCTTAATGGTGGCAGGCAATCATCTGACCCATAGGTGGCAGCCATCTCAAGCCAGAGGATGAGAGGACTCTAGCCGCCACGCATATAAAGGATTTATAGTGAAAAACTTTGTTTTTACGGGTTAATTTTTTACCTACCTGACTTTACCTAAATAACCTAAGAGTATGATGCTCGCGTTGTTTAATATTTAACAGCTTTTTCCCCCACACGCGTCTTTTCGCAGTGAACGAGCTGGTCCTGAAGCAGCGTCAGCGGCTAGAGAATCGAATCGAGATGGAACAACCGGTGATTGGAGATGTGCAGGGAAAAACATCACTGGCACATTTTATAGTAATAGGTTTTTACCCTTTCAACTGGTACAAAAACTGTCACCTTTGTACCAGTTGAAAGGGTAAAAACCTATTACTAGATTTTGCCACTGGTAAAGGAGATGTCTCATAGTGTAAATGCTTACCCCGAGCTCTCAATACTCTGATAGTGCATTGTCTTTGAGTTGTACGCCTTTTGGCGTCATCTGGTCCAACACCAATGGAGACTGGGCTCTAAGAAAAGCTGTCTCGGGTGTGGACCAATCAACTTCAAGGACAGTGCATATCATCATCAGAGTTGTGTCTTTCTGTTTGCATTTTGACTGCTTGTGTTGTGGTTATTGCACACATGATGCCTTGTATAAAGGTGTCAGTTTTTGTACCAGTTGAAAGGGTAAAAACCTATCACTATATTTTGCCACTGCTAAAGGAGATGTGGCCAGATCGCTACTGAGAAAGAGGTATGTAGCTCAGTGGACCTTAGCTGGCCAAACTAAAATGTAACATTTTTGTTAAATAGTCCTCTACATGGCCCACGGTTGGAGGTTACTGGCCGAAGACGCGCCGTGCGCTACGGTCTGTCGGTGTCGCGTGGACAACGCAATGAACTTTGCTGAAAGTTCAAGTTCATTGATTAGGTGTAGCCCTGTGAGCCATTCGGCTCTTGAATCGGGTGCAACCGCAACAAACAACAAAAACATGAACAAGAAAACATCTTAAAGTGACTTTGTGACTAAGTGCAAACAGAAAATCCAAGAAAAGACGGCAAAATATTGTAGAAAAAACACCGTACACCGATCCCAGTGGGATGCAAGTCAAACAACAACAATAACCACCACCAGACAACTTAGATTAAGGCCATCAGTCTTTCTCTGTACTACAACAACACAAACATGGCCAAACCAGTAAACTTTTCGAAATCACCAAAATAAAGCAATGAAACAGTGATCACATAGGAACTGTGATGGAATTTTCACAATAAACGACAAACAACATGTACCACCAGAACCCTGCTGAGACGACTCCCGGCAAGTGCTTTTCGCACTTCACGGAGGTGACCGGCCACGTCTCTTGATCACCGTGTCACGTGACCCTTCCACCCTGCCGCCCCCCCCCCCCCCTCTTCCTCACAGAGCGTCCATCAGCGGCAGACTATCCAGGAGTTGCTGGCGCTGGACCGAGATGGCTTGGAGCTGGCCGACGTGAACCGCATTCTGGAGCTGCTCACTCAGAAGAAGATGCAGCTGGAAGCGGTGAGTTGGCGTTGTTTGTGACGGCGGCGTCAGGAGCAGTGCGGTGCCGCAGAGCTCGCTTGTCGAGAGGGCTTTCCCCCTTTTTTCTGGCAACAAAACTGATGAACACCATATGAGACTGGGCTCTAAAGAAAGCTGTCTCTGGTGTGGACCAATCAGTTTCAAGGACAACGCATAAATGATCAGAGTATTGTTTTTTTGTTTGCATTTGACTACAAGTATTGTGGTTAATGTAAACATGATTCAATCTTAATTTTGGAGCTTTCGTGACTACAGGAATTATTCTTTGGTTCTTTCGGTTAAGTCATGTCTAAAGATAAAATAGTAAATTAAATAATGGCATATTACGACGCTTCGATTGCAACCAGGGGCGGTTTCTTCATTAGGGCGATTGGGCGACGCACCACCAATCTCATTCAACCACAGAGTCACGCTAGCCGTCACTGTGCCTCTGGATATAGTCCAATCAGCGTCATGTCACGTTCTGTGGAGTACCGCCTCTTTTTGGGCGATTTCACTCCGGCTGAGAATCGCCCAGAGTATTCTTAGTCTTAAGCCTCACCTTACCATATTAATAAAAAAGTGTGCCTTTCCGGGCCCTTCCCCCCTCAACCATTATATATACGGAGTGGTATTTCTTGTGATCTCTCATTTACTTGATACGGCTGTCGTGGCTGTGACGGTTCCACCTGAAGACGGAGGCTTGTGTTGCTTCCGAAACGTCGTGATTTTTTATTTTATTTTGTTTTATTTTACTTTTATTAATTTAAATTTTTTACCTACGTGACTTTACCGAAAAAACCTAAGAATATAGTATTCATCCAAGCTACCAAGATCTGGACCAGTTTTTACCTGCCGGGTCTTAGTCATCAGTCAGTCTTGTTCAATAAACCCCGCTGGGCTAAGCGCTGACGTCAGTTGTTTGCGATCAGCACGGCACTCCCGCAAGCCTGCAGGCCTAACTGGGGGATCTCTGTTTGTGTGTCCGTGCGATCTGCAAGACTCCACCTTTGCTCGCACCGGTGACAGTGGCCAAGTCGCCTTACAAGGGCGGCATCCCCAAGCCCCTTGTCACGGGGGAGGTCGTGAAGAAAAAGCGAAAAGTTTTGCATCTGTCGGACTCTGAGGGCTCGGACAGCATGGATTTTACGGTGAGTAATGCGACTGCTTTGATTGAAATTCTTTGGACGATGCAATGGGACTCGATCCACTCTCGTAGGGACAAAGCGGCTCGCTTGAGCGCTAGGGATGATTGGGTCATGTGTGGATGTTCACGCTGGATAGAAGCATTCTCCAAATGTGCGGTGCGCTGTCAAACTCAGAGCTCCATCAACTGGGGGGAGAGTTTTTCCCAGATAATTAAATAATTGCTGTAATCTAATAAACTATGTCATTGTAATCTAAGCCATTCATTTGACAATAACATTAAACAAAAATTTACAATTTAAAAACTAAAATCACTTCTGCAGTTTAATGCGAGTCTCCATCACCATCAATCAGATTCAAAGGGTCACTGGATGTGGGAAGGTAGAATAGACGTCTTGACGAGCTTGGAGCATTTGTTCAATGAACGTAGGATGGAATGTGCCAGAGACGGAGAGTGCTCACAAAGCATGCCCGTGACCAAGGGACGGGTTTCTGAATTCCCAAAATTAAAAAAAATGCAAATGTAGATTTGCTCGTACAATGCACTCGTATTCCGGCAAGGCCGAATAAATGTTTTAAATTGCAGGATCTTTGCATGATTTTGTGTTCATTGATATTCACGTTTATACGTTAGGTCGACGAAGAGCTGCTCGCAAGTGTGTCGGGCGTGATGCCGTCCAAGCGAACTGAACAGGCCAGGGCAGCAGGCAAGATGAGATCTGCCGTCGTTGTCACGAGTGTCAAGACGGTGAGTGCACCAGACTCGCAGTCCCGTTTGATCTCCCGGCGCGGCAGGTTAAACAATGCTGATGATGATGATGATGTCACGCACTTTTTTCTCTTACTCCAAAATATCATTGTTGCTCTTCAACAATCTTTCACGTGGTGAGCCGCTTCGTAGAGCTGCTCGCGCTTGTGGCCGGGACGCTTCTGTGAGAGAAGCTGATGGTTTAGTGGGCCTTGCCTGGTAAGATAAACATCTACTTCAAGGACGGTGCATACATTATCAGAGTTGTGTTTTTTGTTTGCATTATGACTGCAGGTATTGTGGTCTATGCAAACATGACTCCTTATAAATGAGGTTCCAATGGTGTAAATGCTTACCCCAAGCTCTCATACTCTGATGGTGCATTGTCTTTGAGTTGTGCGCATTTTGGCGTCATCTGGTCCATCCCATGTGAGACTAGGCTCTAAGGAAAGCTGTCTCGGGTGTGGACCAATCAACTTCAAGGACAGTGCATACATTATCAGAGTTGTGTTTTTTGTTTGCATTCCGACTGCAGGTATTGTGGTCTATGCAAACATGGCTCCTCGTAAAAAAGGTGTCAGTTTTGTTGCCAGATAAAAGGGTAAAAAAAACAATTAACAAGAAAAAAATGGTTTAGGTTTTTTTTGTTTATTAGAAAAAAAACTTTTTACCTTCCCTACACTTTGCGCTCCTATTGTGTTTTTGTATTGTTTGTTGTTGTGAAATGTGAACGACCTCACCTGGCATACAGGAGGTCTCCCCGTGGTCGCGTGGATTTTTCTCCAGGTTCTCCGATTTTCCCCTCCACTTTACAAACACGCTCTCAGAGTGTTTGGCTGCTATACATGTCCACGTGATAGGCCACTTGGTTGAGCTGTCATTTGTGGCCAGTACACTTCTGAACAAGAGCTATACAGCTCAGTGGGCCTCACCTGGTCAAATAAAAATACAAAGTTAATAGTACTGGACATCTGTGAAAAACAGCTTCATATCTCATCGCATTCCTCCAGTATCAATACATCTTCTCATTCTCTATAAATGGGCGCACCGTTTCATTGCTCGCCTGCTTGTGTGTGCTGGGGTCAAGTTGCGGGTGTATTCCCACCATCCTCCAAGACGCCGTGTACAGCGGTCACCCTCTGTAGAACTCCCACCAGAGCTCCTTCTGCCTGCAGTGACGTGACTTCTTCTCTTTCCCACGTGTCTCGCTGCATTTCTTCTGGCGGTTGCTCTCATTCCCAGTCCACGTGTAGCGGCATCAATGCAGTCACCTGATTGGTCACCCCACCCGTTCAAGCCGACTGTTTTGACCAATCTGCAATGGGCCCATTGATGAACGTAGATCTCGGACATGACGCGGGTTGAGTCGGTGGGAGACTGCCGGGGACTGCCAGGCTTGGCCTACGAGGTGGTCAGGAGATGGCAGTGTAGCCATGGATTCTTGACTCTATCAGTGTGGAGATTTTGAGTGCTCCCCCCCCCCCTCTTATGTAAATGCTGTTTAATGTTTACAATAATATTGTGTTCGTGTCAGATGTTTTGAGCCCTCGTTTTCACGTTCACATTCTTGTTTTTGTGGCATTGAGACTTCATCGGCCACAATCATTCCACTTCCGGACGAAGACCTCCCCGCGCAATCGCCATCTCTCACGATCCACCGCAGGAGCCGTACACCTCGTCACGAGAGACGAACACCAAGCCATGCTCACTTGAGCAGGAGGACCACTTTAGACTCTTGACGATGCCCAATTGTCTTCGATGTGTTCATTTGTTACAGGCGATTGAGATCTCAAGAAAAAACACGTTGACAGCAAAGATCAAACAAGGGAAGATGGTCTCTGCATCACCTTCCATCAAGCTTCCTGCAAAACGGCGACACTCACCCTTTGACTGGTTTGAGGGTCCAGATGTCGACACCACTTCTGAATCGGAGGATTAAAAGAGAATCGGAGTTTGTTTTGAGCGACGTTGTTCTACGTTCCATTGTTCTTGGCGAAATGGTAGACAGGGTGGAGACTTTTAGCCAAAACAGTTAAAATGTTTTGGGTGTTCAGTTTTAAGTCGCTGCTTTTCATAAATTTTCAGAGAGGAGGTGGGGGGGGGGGGGGATACTTTCGCCGTTAACACTGGTTGGTCAACAAAAAACAACATGTTTTTCTGGCCTGGACTTTTGCAGCTGTTCTAGACTAATTTCAGGGTGCCGATTCCAAATCTGATCTCAGATTTGCTCAATCACATCTCATTTTTAAATCCTTTATATTAAGTTCGCTTGCTTGCTTAGGACCGTGCAAATCTTTCGGTCGTTTTTTAACCCACTTCCCGTGATCCAATCGAGCTGACATTTTGCACACAGACTCGTTGTGCGTGACAATGCATTTTCCTGAAAAAAAATTCCTAAATTTTACACAGTTTAGAGAAATTTAAATATTTAATTACCAATTGTTTAATGGTGGCAGACACTCATCTGACCCATAGGTGGCAGCCATCTCAAGCCAGAGGACGAGAGGACTCTAGCCGCCCCGATGCCACGCATATAAAGGATTTATAGTGAAAAACTTTGTTTTTACGGGTTAATTTTTTATGCTATCGGCATACCCCATTTTCATCGATTTTACCCGAAATTAACTCTGTCACTTCTGATTGCAAGTTGTTGCGAGTCAGTGACTGCTTTAGTGTTAAAATATGGTGCTGTATTTTTAGGATAGTGTGCTTATAATATCATTTTATGTAGATATCCACATTTATTTAATATTTTTCTTCTGCAGTTTTTATTGAAAATGCAATATTTGATATCTCAAAAACATTTTGATTGCATTTTGATTGTAAAGTGAACGTTCATTGTTTCTGTTCGTTGCGTGTACGCTCAAAATTAAAGCGCTTAAAATCGCAAGCAATTCCGTGCTTTTTTTGTATTCAACGTAAGGAAATACACTCGGAAAGGTTGTGAGTTTGCGAAACCCGTCGCGGGTACCAACTCAGCCCCTTCACCCATTGTGAACATCATCGCCACTGTCGGAGGTCAATCGTGGTTCCGTCCTAATAGCTTCAGAAAGCCGAAGAGTCTTCGCCAACGTTGTCAACGCGCGCCTGCAATCTTCTCAGGTGCAGGTCTCCACGTTTTCCTGTGGTGTTGTTGCAAAGTCTCAGAAGTGTTAACATTTCGATGTAAAGCTTCATTCGTGACTGCAGGGATTAATCTTCTTGGTTCTTTCGGTAAAGTCACGTAGAAGGGAAGTAATAAAATAACAGCCCATTCAGACGCTGTCTTCCTGACAGACCTGTTCTTCACCTGAGGACGGCTGCTTGCGTTGTGGCCGAAACGTCGTGAGAATTGTATTTAATGTTTTATTATTTCCCTTCTACGTGACTGCCGAAAGAACCAAGAAGTGTTCACATGTTTTTGAAGCACCCCCCCCCCCTGTATTCACAACAGCATAAGAGAGACGGGGGAGGATGACTGCGTGTACATGCACGCTAATGAGTGGCAAACTTTCACGCGACTGGCAACAAACCAGGACTTGCCAAGTCACGTTTCTGCGAAGACTTGGAGATATCCCACGGGAGCTGACCTCCATAAGAGGATGATCTTGGTGGCAAACTCGCGTCGTAAAGAATTACAAATGATAACCGTGGCAATCTAGTGATATCAATTTAATGAAATGCATCAATGCAGGGATATTACATCAAAGCAAGGACGGGTGGCAACCTCGCGTCTTAAAACAAAAATACTGTAAAAATCACACTCGTTTTGAAATATAGTGGCGTCACTTAAATGAAACTCGATATGACGTCAGCGCGGGGGAGTCGTGACATCGGTTCACGGTGACCTTGGCGTCTTTGTTCGTTTTGCTCACTAGACGGGATTCGAAGCCGTGTCCTTCACGTGTCAAGGGTGACCCACCCTTCCTGTCCTGTCCCCTCGGCAATGCCGCCTCCACAGGGACAACCAACCCCTCTATCCCTAATGAACATCTGTTGCATCACCCAATTCCCTGACCCCCCACCCCTGCCCCCAGATTGTGCCCGATGTAGTACAGGGACTACCTCTACTTACAAACATTCGACTTGGGAACTTTCAGAGATACGTGCAAACCTGTCCGTATGTCCCGTTACCGCAGTTCAACGATGCGATTGCCCATCACAAGTTGATTTGTGCAGAGATGAAGAGAACAACTGTGCAGACATCTCTTAGTAGGTATTTCAAGAGAATAGAGAGGAAACACGTGCCAAAGGGAATTAGCATCTACATCTGCAGAACGTGAAGAATCAGTGGCATCTACATCTACAAAACGTGAAGAACCAGTGGCATCTACATCTGCAGAACGTGAAGAACCAGTGGCATCTACATCTGCAGAACGTGAAGAACCAGTGGCATCTACATCTGCAGAACGTGAAGAACCAGTGGCATCTACATCTACAAAACGTGAAGAACCAGTGGCATCTACATCTGCAGAACGTGAAGAACCAGTGGCTTCTACATCTGCAGAACGTGAAGAACCAGTGGCATCTACATCTGCACAACGTGAAGAACCAGTGGCATCTACATCTGCAGAACGTGAAGAACCAGTGGCATTTACATCTGCAGAACGTGAAGAACCAGTGGCATCTACATCTGCAGAACGTGAAGAACCAGTGGCATCTACATCTACAGAACGTGAAGAACCAGTGGCATTACATCTGCAGAACGTGAAGAACCAGTGGCATCTACATCTACAGAACGTGAAGAACCAGTGGCATCTACATCTGCAGAATGAAGAACCAGTGGCATCTACAGCTCTCTCCCTCCCTGCCCTTTTGTCTCTCCCCCTTTCTGCCCCCCCGTCTCTCTCCCTCCCTGCCCCCCTCCCTCCCTCCCTGCCCCCCTCTCTCTCCCCCTCCTGCCCCCCTCTGCCCCCCCGTCTCTCCCCCTCTCTGCCCCCCCGTCCTCTCCCTCCCTGCCCCCCTCTCCCTCTCTGCCCCCCCATCTCTCCCCCTCTCTGCCCCCCCATCTCTCCCCTCTCTGCCCCCCCTCTCTCTCCTCCCTGTCCCCCCTCTCTCCCCCTCTCTGCCCCCCCTCTCTCTCCCTCCCTGCCCCCCTCTCCCTCTCTGCCCCCCCCTCTCCCCTCTCTGCCCCCCATCTCTCTCTCTCTCTGCCCCCCATCTCCCTCCCTCCCTGGGCCCCCGTCTCTCTCCCTCCCTGCCTCCCCGTCTCTCTCCCTCCTTCCCAACTGAATCCCCTAACCTCTCGCTTATAAATCGACGAAGGTTCGGCGCCCTCTGATGTCTCTCTCTCTCTTCCTGTCTTCCCCTCGCCTCCCCTTCTCTTTGCCGATCTCTCGCGACGTCTCTGCCCCTCCCCTCATCTCGCCCCGTCTCTCTCGCTCCGTCCGAACCGGACCCCCCTAGCCTCTGCCTCAAGAACCGTTGAATGAAATTCCTCTGATGGCTGTCTCTCTCTCTCTCTTGCCGCGCTCCCCACGCCGCCTCGTCTCTGCGTCTCTCGCTCGCCGCGTCTCTGGCCCTCGACTGTTGCTGCGCCGTCTCTCTCTCCCCTCTTCCCCTCCCGCTCCCCGACTCCGCCCCGGTTCCGTGCCCCTCAGGCCGAGCTCCTGCCCCTCGCTGACCTTCATCTGCCCCCCCCCCCCTTCGCTGCCCCTCCCTCACGAGACCTCCCACGCACAATTCCTTGGTCCCATCCCTCTCTCGCCTCGCTCCCGCACTTCTTCATGGAAGCTCTTCGTGGGACGCGTCTCCTCCGGGCGCCGTTCGGCCTCCTGCACGCACCTCCTGCACGCACCTCCTGCACGCACCTCCTGCACGCACCTTGTGCACCGCCACTGCCAAAGACAAAGATCCCCCGTATAGCCTCTAACAGACTGTCGGGGGCAAGTGCTGTTAGCGAGTAGCAGCACTTATCAAGGCCGGCACTGTGGCACACGGGGGGGGGGGTCACCACGATGCTTGTGCACACACCACACACACAGTCACACAAACACAGTCACACAACACACACAGTCACACACACAGTCACACACAGTCACACACACAGTCACACCACACACACCCCACACACAGTCACACACCACACACAGTCACACAAACACAGTCACACACCACACACAGTCACACACCACACACAGTCACACACCACACACACACCACACACAGTCACACAAACACAGTCACACACCACACACAGTCACACACCACACACACCCCACAAACAGTAACACACCACACACAGTCACACACAGTCACACACACCACACACAGTCACACACCCCACACACACACCACACAGTCACACACAGTCACACACACCACATACAGTCACACACCACACACAGTCACACACCACACACACCACACACAGTCACACACCACACACACCACACACAGTCACACACCACACACACCACACACAGTCACACACCACACACACCACAGACACACCACACACAGTCACACACCACACACACCACACACAGTCACACACAGTCACACACACCACACACACACACCACACACACCACACACACACACACCTTGGAATGAATTGTGCACGTGTACTGCAGCTGCTGATGATGCTGCTACGGCTGCTGCTGGAGAGACGTCGCTGCACCTTCGAAAGAGGCTGCTGCAACTTGCTGAATCCGCCCCCTGTTGAGCTGCACTACTGCAAGTTCAAGTTCATGTATTAGGTACAGAGCCCTGTGAGCCATTCGGCTCTTGAATCGGGTGCAACCGCAACAAACAAAAAACAAACACATGAACAAGAAAACATCTTAAAGTGACTTTGTGACTAAGTGCGAACATAAAATGTGGCAAATGGCGGTTGTTGTTGTTGTGTGTGTCTGTGTGTGTGACTGTGTGTGTGTCTGTGGTGTGTGACTGTGTGTGTGGTGTGTGTCTGTGTGTGTGTGTGAGACTGTGTGTGTGTGTCTGTGTGTGTCTGTGTGTGTGTCTGTGTGTGTCTGTGTGTGTGGTGTGTGTGACTGTGTGTGTGTGTGACTGTGTGTGTGGTGTGTGACTGTGTGTGTGACTGTGTGTGTCTGTGTGTGTGGTGTGTGTCTGTGTGTGTGACTGTGTGTGGTGTGTGTCTGTGTGTGTGTCTGTGTGTGTGACTGTGTGTGTATGTGACTGTGTGTGTGACTGTGTGTGTGGTGTGTGTCTGTGTGTGTGACTGTGTGTGTGTGTGACTGTGTGTGTGGTGTGTGTCTGTGTGTGTGTGACTGTGTGTGTGACTGTGTGTGTGGTGTGTGTCTGTGTGTGTGACTGTGTGTGTGTGTGGTGTGTGCACAAGCGTCGTGGTGACGTCACCGCTACTTCAAGTTCAAGTATTAGGTATAGCCCTGTGAGCAATTCGGCTCTTGAATCGGGTACAACCGCAACAAACAAAAACATCTTAAAGTGAATATGTGACTGAGTGCAAACAGAAAATCCAAGAAAAGACAGCAAAATATTGCAGGAAAAAAATCACAGTTACACCAACTCTGTGTGCAAAAATCCCAGCAGACAACAAATCGATTAACGAATGAAATCGGCTAACCCTCGATATATTATTGGTTCTTTCTGTTATAAAGTCACGTAAATAGAAAAAAATTATAATAAAATATTGAAAAAATGGCGGGTTTTGCTTTTATTATTTTCCATTTTTTTTCTTATTTTTTATTTTCAATCGACGCGATTTTACCAAAAGAACCAAGAATATGAATTCCTGCAGTCACGAAAGTTTTAAGTCAAAATTGATCCGCTAACCCGTCAAGGCAAGTAACCTCTTAATCAATTGCTGTTATAACCGTACCGGCTTCAAGTAGCAGCAGCAGCAGAGAGACACGTGGCACCACTGCAGCTCCCACGTGACAGCGTCTGGCCACGCCCAGCGCGGGTCACGTGTCAGGAAGGGGCGGGGCTTAAGCACCACGTGGGCAGAGCCCCCAGGTGTCATTGGCTGTCTGCGTGGTGTCGTCTATGGGTCTCTGTGCGTGAGTCAAGTTCATGTATTAGGTAGAGCCCTGTGAGCCATTCGGTTCTTGAATCGGGTGCAAACTGAAAAAACAAAAAAAACATCTTAAAGTGACTATGTACAAACTGAAAAAAGAAACAAAAAACATCTTAAAGTGATTATGTGCAAACTGAAAAAACAAACAAAAAACAAAAACATGAACAAAAAACATCTTAAAGTGACTATGTGCAAACTGAAAAAACAAACAAAAAACAAAAACATGAACAAAAAACATCTTAAAGTGACTATGTGCAAACTGAAAAACAAAAACATGAACAAAAAACATCTTAAAGTGACTACGTGCAAACTGAAAAAACAAACAAAAAACAAAAACATGAACAAAAAACATCTTAAAGTGAATATGTGACTGAGTGCAAACAGAAAATCCAAGAAAAGACAGCAAAACATTGCAGAAAAAAGTCACCGTGTACACCAACACTGTGTGCAAACATCCCAGTGGGATGCAGGTCAAACAACCAACAACAACAACCACAAGACAACTTAGAGAGTCGATGGGTCTCTATCAGTAATTCTACATTTGAAGCTTTCGTGACTGCCAGGAGTAGGTTTTTCCGGTAAAGTCACGTAGGTAAAAATAAAAATAATATAAAAAATAATAAAAAAATCACGACGTTTCGGAGGCAACACAAACTTCCTTCATCAGGTGTAAAAAAGCACAAAAAAAACTGTACGTCGTGATTTATTATTTTATTTCTATTAATATTTACATTATTTTTATTATTTATCTCTTCTGTAGTCTATGGGTCTCTGTGACCCCCCCCCGTGAGGATCGTGAATCGAGGTCAGAATCGACCGACGGCTTGCAATCTAAGTCGATTCTAACGTAATCGCATGGAGGAATCGATCCACGGATCGATCCGACGACATCACCGTTAACCAAATCGCAATGGAGGTAGAAGCCAACAGCTTCCATCGAGTCGCGAAGTCGTCACCTCCTCTACCTCCTCTTCTACCTCCCCCTCTACCTCCTCCTCTACCTCCTCCTCTACCTCCTCCACCTCCTCAATTGCCTCGCGACATCAACGACCCTCCCACAGCAGCAGCGGAATCAGCAACAACGACGTCAACACCCGCCACTGAGGCCTACACCGCCATGCAGCCTGCGGTCTCTGCCCAAGCCGCGTCGCATTCTGCGGGGGAGATTCAGGCGAGGGGCGGTGGCTGCGGCGAGGAGGAGGAGGAGGAGGATGAAGCGATGCAGTTGCTGACCATCGTAACCGGCGATCTCATCTCCGGCTACGTGGCTCACCTGACGCAGCAGACGGAGCAGCAGCAGCAGCCTGTGCAGCAGCAGCAGCAGGGGCTGCAGCAGGGGCTGCAGCAGCAGCTGCAGCAGCAGCTTCAGCAGTTGCAGGAGCAGCTCCCGGCGGTGCAGCAACATCTCCTGCTGTCGCAGCAGCAGCAGCAGCAGTGGATGGAGAAGCTCTGGCAGCAGCAATTCCAGCACATGCAGCAGGTGCAGGAGCAGCTCCAGCAGGTGCAGCGGCAACAGGAGCTTGTGCAGCAGCTGCAGCAGCAGGAGCAGCTCCTGGATGTGCAGCAGCAGCAGCTGCTGCAGGAGCTGCAGAAGAAGTATCAGCTCCAGGAGGTGCAGCTGATGCGTCGGTTCAAGCAGCTGCACCAAATGCAGCAGGAGCATTTCCAGCAGTTGCAGCAGTTCAAGGAGTGGCAGGAGCTGCAGCGGCAGGCGCGGCAAATACAGCGGCAGCTGCGGGAGGTGCGCTCGCTGCTCCAGACCTCCCGGCGGCTGGTGCGGATGCGTGTGGAGCTTCTGCAGGAGGCGCTCGACATCCGAGGAGACGCGTTGCTGGCGGAGTTCGAAGCCTCCATCCCAGACTTTGTGAGGCGCGCGGAGGAGCTGGCGAAGCAAGTGGACCCGCGCCGGCTGGTCATGACCCTGGCCTGGCAGGTTCTCACCGCGGGGCCCATGAGCTGGGGCTGCGTGCTGTCCATGGTGGTGTTTTGCGCGCTGCTCGTCAAGAACCTGAGGGCCTCCGGTCGTCTGGGCGACTCGGAGGAGACTTGGCCCTTGACGGACGCGGTGGCCGCTGTGCTGTTGACCACACGCAAGACCTGGCTCATGGAACAGGGAGGCTGGGTGAGGGGTTACACACCGCTACCATCAACACCACTGCGCCGGAACAGCGTGTTGGTAATTAAAAGCCCATGGGCTGCACAAAATCGAGCAGCCTCCTACCGTTGTTATTGAGTTGATCTGACCCATGTCCTCCAATCACTCCAGACCAGGTGCTAGCATCATGACCAACTCTGGCATTGAAGTCACCCAACAAGATGACTCTATCCCGAGGGGCCACTTTAGCCAGCACCTGTGACATGAGGTCATAGAAGGCATCTGACTCATCGGCCTTGCCTGCATCCCTCCACGGATGTTCGTCTTCGGTGGGGGCATAAGTAACCACGACCACCACTCCTCGCCTCTGGTTGATGGAAAGGCGAGCCCAAAGTTGTCTGGGGCTTACAGATTCCCACACCTCACCGCCACGCTCCCATGCCCCCTTCATTCTTTTATTCAGAAGAAGAGCCACTACCTGTTGTTTGGCAGTCTCCTGCCCCCAGTAGAGGACTGTCCACCCCTCATGATGTCAGGAGCCAGAGCCGGTCCACCGGACCTGAATGCCACAGAGATCCAGGCAGTACCTGTCCAGCTCCCGACAGAGGAGTGGCAGCCTCTCCTCAGCAGTGAGCGTTCGAACATTCCACACGTTCAACCAAAGTGTCTCACTACCCAGTGTCTCACAAGCATTGTCTCACTACCCAGTGTCTCACTACTCAGTATCTCACTACCCAGTGTCTCACTACCAGTGTCTCACTACTCAGTATCTCACTACCCAGTGACTCACTAGCGGTGTCTCACTACCCAGTGTCTCTGTACCAGTGTCTCGCTACCCAGTGTCTCTCTACCCAGTGTCTCTGTACCAGTGACTCACCACCAGTATCAGATCATAGAACAACGCCAAAAGGTGATGATGATGACGATGATGGTGGTGGTGGGGCTCTCTTTCCGTTCTGTTTCTGTGCTGCCACACAGGAGGGCTTCCTGCGAGCGTTCGGGCCGGGGACGCCCACCTAGGAGAGGAGCCGCAGACGCCGAGCTCCGATGGGCGGCGATTGTGGAGACAAGAAGAGAGAGACAGAGAGAGACAGAGAGAGAGACAGAGAGAGAGAGACAGAGAGAGAGACAGAGAGAGAGACAGAGCGAGACGGAGAGACAGAGACTTTTGACTTTTTACACAACTTTTATTGCCGCCAGGAGCAACAGCACTGGAGGCGATTCCGATATGAAATACAGTCACCAGCAAACAAACGAATAAACGCTGTAAATCCACACGCCGTGGCGCTAAATGCAGCGCAACACGAAAGAAAAGTCACGTGGTGGTTGTTGTTGTGGTGGTGGTTGTGGTGGTGGTGGTCATCTCGCACGCCACGGTGACGAGAGAGCGCCTCAGAAGAGAGAGAACGGCCATCACCAAGCCATGTCAATTTTTTACTTTTCTCTTTACAAAATGAGGCTTCCATTAACGTGTGGTCCGACCTCTGTCAGGCGTTGAACAGTGAAATAGTACAAGTCGTTCGAAAGTGCATCGTAATATCTGCATCGTTAATATTTTTAAACTTGAGGGAATTAATTTTTTGGCAGTGGCAATGAGAGATGCAAACATTGAAATGGCTCAGGGTTTGAATCAGATGAAAATTCAGAGGAGTTAAAACGTGCTAACTACCAACCTAAATGTTCAAACAATTGTCGGGGGATACGTGTTGATTGTGTGCGTTTACACAATTTGACTTGAAGTCTTGAAAACTGGTTACACAGAAACAAAACTTACAGCCAAGAAATTGTGACGTGTTGTTTTAAATTGCCTGAATTTCTGTAAAACACTGTTTAAGTGACAATGTCAGACTGTTGTTGTCTTTGATCGTTCATAATGAATTTTGTGTGTTCAGCGTTACCGACGTAAGTCGTGATTTTTAAACGTAATCTTAACTTTTAATGGAACATAAATCTTAAGTAATAGAGCTCTGTGAAAATATATAGCTGGATACTCGCAGTCACCTCAAAAAAAGTAAGTTTCATGTTCCGAGAAAAGGATTATTTTGAAAGTGTTCGTTTTTTTCGGTAAAGTCACGTAGGCAGAAAATAAAATAAAAGATAAAAAAATATATATTAAAAGATAATTGTTTTATTTATATTATCCATTAGTATTTCTACATCACGTAGGGAAAAATAAGAATAAAAAGAATAAAAACAATAGAAATAAAAGAAAATTTTATATCATTATTTTATTTTTTGTTTGTATTATTATTTATATAAATTGTATTTACTTATTTTATACCTACGTGACTTTACCAGAAAACACCTAAGAGTATGAATCCTTGCAGTCACGAAAGCGTCAAATCTAGAATGGATTATTTTTAAATCTGTTCTCTTAGTGTACTAAGCAACCAAAAACGATATCCTCAGGAACAGAGGATGAAGCTTTAGTCATGGAATGTCCCGTCGGGTCCTAAAGATTGTTGACCTGTGAGAACATCACGACGTCTTTTATCTTATAATCCTGTGGGAAGTCGACAACATGCACAACACAGCAACACTCACGACAAACATCGTTTAGTTCCTGTCGGCATTGGTCATGACGTATTTATATCGTGTACAAAGTCCTCTTCAAAGATCTCTGGCCAACGTGAAAGAGTCAAAATTACCCCTCCCCCCCCGCCTCTCGTGGTGCCCCATCTGCCAGCGGTGGCACGAGCAGGAATTGCAGGGCTGTGCCTCTACCTTTGACACAATGTCTGGCAACAATGGGGGGATCAATAAAAACACGGTGAGTGTTGACTGAGATTACATTATTGATGTGAAACTATCTGCAATAAATGACGTGCTGCATCCCTTAAAACATTTGTGCCTTTTTTCTCTCGCCGTGCTTAAAGAACAATTTTCCTGGAGGCTTGTTGCATTTGTTTAAATCCATGTTTTATATGACACCCGTAGTGAATCCAACTGAGTCGGAAGACGTCTTGGGAGCAACGCTATTTCACCAACACAACACGACACGAGCTACACTTGGGTGTCGAATGCCCATCTATCCCACGCTACGGCACAACTAGACACGGCTCGCTATCCCGGCCCGGACCGCGAGCTGCTGGGTCCTGGAGCGCGTGGCTAGAGGCTTCTTCTCCCCGACGTGAATCTTCTTCACCGGCCACACGAAGAACCCACGACCGCCTCACGGAGCCCCCCCCCCCCCGTTATATCGGCCTGGGCTGGGCTGGCTCCGGCCCTCGCCCCGCCCACCTCTTTCCCGAAGGATCCCGAGGGCTTCTCTATACCACGTGACCGCCCAGCGGCCCCGTCCACCGGTGGCCCCCCTCCAATATCATCCGGTGACGTGTCGGCAGGTCAATCAGCGTATCATGCCCCAACGCAACCCTGGCTGGCTGACGCTCCCTCACCGGGAGCCCGCACCGCACACTGCACGCGGTGCCTCCGCACTGACCAGCGCTCACCGAAGCCCCGCTAGGGCTGGTACTACGCCCAGTGACTGCACGTAATGCCAACACATTATCCGCCGTAGCTTCGTAAGCCCGGCAGCACACGGTGACATTCACAGTCACTACATCACCCCCCTCTCTGTAGCTTCCAGCCGTCCCGGCTGCCAACTCCCCCGCAAGTAAGCAACCGACGTACAATTATACAGAACAACAAGCAGGTGCGCTCCAACAATAACAAGACAGCACGATAAATTACCCAAACCCAACTGTACAATATATACACCGAGAGAGAGAAAAAAGACACAGCAGCGAGAGAAATGAACAACACAACAATCGCGTCGTACAAGATCCCCACAATAAACATCTCCCACCCACAACGTGTAAACAACGCCCGTGAGCTCGATGGCGGAAAGGATCAGCCAAACGCTCGCCACGACTCAAGAGCGCGCGACAAGCCACGGCAGTGTGGGAGCGTGCAACGCGCGGGGATCGTGAGAGTCGAGTCTTTGAGCGAGTCCGTGACGCCGGCCCTCCAGGCGGGTCGGGCTCATCTGCCCTGGAAGCAGAGGTCGCAAACGGGTTTTGATTCCTTACCCGTACCCGGCCGGGTATGGGTTCCCGTACGCCACCCGTACCCTACCCGAAATGAGTGACTAACGGTGACTCACCGGTGACTCACGGCCTACCCGTACCCGGCCGCACCAGGGTCGCAAACGGGTACCCAGCTACCCGTACCCGGCTGGGTACGGGTAGCCGGGTATCGGGTAGGGTACGGGTATCGGGTACCCGGTTGCGACCTCTGGGATGAAGCCATGTTGCAGGCGCGGGTGGGTTGATTCTAGGAACTTGAATTGTGAGAAGAGACAAGACGTTGGGAAATGAGTGACAAACGGTGACTCACCAGTGACTCACGGCCTACCCGTACCTGGCCACACCAGGGTCGCAAACGGGTACCCGTACCCGGCTGGGTACGGGTAGCTGGGTATCGGGTAGGGTACGGGTATCGGGTACCCGGTTGTGACCTCTGCCTGGAAGCTGACTCCCCACGAAGAGCAGTCGACCGGGTCATCGGGTCCTTCACGTGCAGAGCACGCGAGGCCGACAGAGCGGACGCACGCCCCGGCTCGCCACGCACAGCCCACACTCGGCCCCTGCGATACGGAGATGAGACAAACTCACACGGCGGCGCGATCAATGGCTTAAGACGAGCGGGGTGTACAAACCGGTTCCGCTTACCAAACCGAATCCATGGTTGCAGCAGCAATGCGGGAGGTGTGCCCACCGGCACCTGCGGACAATGCAACCAGGTCCTGTCCCCCGGCGACCAGTCGCACAGGGAAACACGGCCACTGGTTTCAGGTAATTTTTTACGAAACATTTGAAAATTCCCGCCAATTCGGTGGGGGTCAGGAAGCCTTCGGGTGACTCCGCGCGTGAAAGTATAATAAGTAAATATTGTGAAAATAAATAAAGTAACCCTCGTTAATCGTTGCCACGTCGTTTATCCCGATAAAGTTGAGGTAAATGTCCCTCACGACAACCTAACGCGCCTGATTTTAACAAAAAAATCTGTAAAAGTATGTAAGCTTATACTTTACTAGCTCGGTTTGCCAATCCTAGGACGGAAGCTGTAATATTTACGAAAAATTGAGCCGATAATAGATTTAATTGCAGTGAATCTTGAAAAAGTGAGTGAGTGAGTGGGTGAGTGAGTGGGTGGTGAGTGGGTGGATGAGTGGGTGAGTGGGTGAGTGGGTGAGTGAGTGGGTGGTGAGTAGGTGGGTGAGTGGGTGGGTGGGTGAGTGGGTGAGTGAGTGAGTGGGTGAGTGAGTGGGTGGTGAGTAGGTGGGTGAGTGGGTGGGTGGGTGAGTGGGTGGTGAGTGGGTGGGTGGGGTGAGTAGGTGGGTGAGTGGGTGGGTGAGTAAGTGAGTGAGTGGGTTGGGGTGGGTGGGTGAGTGAGTGGGTGGGTGGGTGTGTGGGTGGGTGTGGGGTGGGTCGGTGGTGAGTGGGTGGTGAGTGGGTGGGTGAGTGGGTGGGTGGGTGAGTGGTGGGTGTGGTGGGTGAGTGAGTGGGTGGTGAGTGGGATGGGTGAGTGGGTGGGTGAGTTGAGTAGGTGAGTGAGTGAGTGAAGTGGGTGAGGAGGGTGAGTGAGTGGGTGGTGGTAGTGAGTGGGTGGTGGTGAGGGGAGTGGTGAGTGGGTGGTGTGAGTATGGGTGGGTGATTGGGTGGGTGAGTGGTGGGTGGTGGTGAGAGGGTGTGAGTGGGGGGTGATGGTGAGTGAGTGGGTGGGAGTGGGTGGGGCGTAGGTGGGTGAGTGGGTGTGATGGGTGA